TGTTTGCCTTTCTTTAAATCCCTAGAGCTTAGTATAGTGCCTAGCATAGTAGATGTTTAATAAATGTGTATTGGATGACTGGCTGTAAAATGAAGGGGTTGGAGTATATAATCTATTATGTGCTTTCCATGTTTGGAACTATGATCTTATGATTCTAACCGCATACTATCCAAGTTCATATGTTAGGTGGTAGAAATACAAAGAATGACAGTTCCTGCCTTTGAGGGGTTTACATTCTGCCAGGTGTGGAAGGATACAGTAAGTATATACACTGTAATTAGAAAAGAGTGGGAGGAAGAAGAGGAGGAGGAAAAGGAGGCAGCACATTGCTAATTAAAGGAATTAGGAAATGCTCCCCATAGGATTTGAGTATTGAAGGAATCTAGGGATTCCCAGGGAAAGAGGGGAGGAGAGAGCTCATTTCAGGCACAGAAGTGGGGAAATATAAAAGAAAAGGGACTGGATCAAATGAATTTTAAGATCTAGCTGAGCTCTAAATCTTATGTTCCTATCTCTACTACTTACTACCTGTGCCTTGGGTATTTGACACATTTTGGGCCTCAGTTTCCTTGTCTGTAAAAGGGGGGGATCGGACCAGATGACCTCTAAGGTCTCTTCCAGTTCTAAAGCCAGTGATTTTCCGCACTATTGAGGAAAGGCTGCTGGCTTTGGAGTCAGGAGATAGGAATTGAATCCCAGCCCCAATACTTACTTATATGACCTTGGTCAGGTCATATCACTGTGCCTTAGTTTCCCCATCCGTAAAATGACGTCAATAATCCTTGCGCAGCTTTTATCCTCCAGGAGGGTTCCAGATGTTGCCATAGCATTAAAAAATGATTAGACAGAGTCTGGGTCATAGTAGGCATTCAATAACTCCCAACTGAATCATGGGCTTATAGCTGAAATGGACTTTAGAAGTCATAAATTTAGAAGACAAATTCTAATTCCACCTCTGACATCAGTTATATGGTCCCGGGGCTGCTGTTTCATCTCTGATGATTATTTAGTTTCATATTTTGTAAAATGGAAAGAAAATCTTGTATACCTACTTTGTAGGGTTGACCTGAGGACAATCAAATGAGATAAAATATGTAAAGTACTTTGTAAACTTTACGATTTAAGTGGCAGACTGTTTGATTGGGAGTCATGAAGACCCATGTTCAAATCCTGCCTCTGATAATGTTCGTATATGTGACCCTGGCAAGGCAGCTAGCTGCCTCAATGGATAGAGTGCTAGGCCTGGAGTCAGGAAGACCTGAGTTCAGATTCAGCCTCAGACTCTTACTAGCTGTGTAGCCTGGGCAAGGCACTGATTCACCCTGTTTGCCTTTCTCCAGTGGAGAAGAAATGGCAAACCACTCCATTATCTCTGCCAAGAAAACTTCATGGACAGTGGTATACAGGGCAATGAAGAGTCGGATGTGACCCAACAACAACAACAAATGTGACCCTGAGCAAGTCACTTAATCTCTTTCAACCTCAGTTTCCTCACCTGTAAAATGGGGAGAATAATAGCATCTACCTCACAGGGTTGTGAATGTCAAATGAGATAACACATGTGAGCACTTTGTAAACCTTAAAACGGTCCCTGTAAATGTCCCTTATGACACTTGAGGAAAATGAGGCCCAACAAAGGAAAATGACTCACTGACACAAATCATGAATGCCTTAGCTCGGTTCTTCTGATCCCAAATCCAGCACTCCTTCCCTTATGTTACATAGCCCTTCTGTGGGAGGCTACAAGACAGTAATGGGACAATTTTACATTGGCTGGTTGTCAGCTCTCTGAGAGTGCGCCTGTAAAAAGAGGCTCCCTTGCCTCAGAGCAGAATGTGGCTCCCACAGACTTCAGTACGTGCTGGAGAGGAGACACAGCTGCTGAGTGGCAGGGCTGGGGTTTCAACCCATACTATCACTCCAGGCACTGTTCTCTCTGCATCACAATTCAATTCAGTCCGATCCAAGAAGCATGTAAGTATCTACTTTGCACCAAGCACTGTACTAAGTGCCTGGGATACAAAGAAAAGCAAAAGACATTCCAGCTCCAGGGAACTCACAATCTACAGGTGGACAACAAGCAAACAACTGTGTACAAACAAGCTATAGCCGGGATAAATTGGAATTAATCAAAAGAGAAAAGGCCCTTGACTTATGCTCAGTGCAGGTCACATGGTAGGTGCTTAATCAACATTTGTTGATTGATTGATTGATTGATTATGGGGTATTAGCAAAGGTTTCTTACAGAAGGTGTGATTTTAGCAAGGACTTGAAAGTGCCAGGGAAGCCAGGAGGCGGAAGGATGGGAAAGAGAGAATTTCAGGCACAAGCTTAACAGAATTCTGTTTGAAAACAACATAGACAGAGATAAGTCCAAACAGGATATTTTTGGTCCAGACTTGTGATTTCATTATGCAGATCAGGCACTAGGTGTCTGTAACTGATAAGTCTTAGAGAGTTGCCTGGGGGCTGGGAGAGGTTAGGAGAGTGAGAGGTTAAGTGAAGCCCAGAATCCCACAGAAAGTAATTCTGAGACTAGGCACCAGAAACCATCTTCTCTCTCGGGAGGCTGCCTCTCTGAAAAAGATACAAAGTAAATATAAACGGTTTATATTATTTCTGAGGAGATACAGTTGAAAGCCAAAGAATGCTTCCCACCCACCCTCAAGTTACATTGTGTTTCTTTTGATTCTCCCTCCTATTTGTTTATCTGTGAATGGGTTGTTACCCTCTAGTAGGATGTTAGCTCCTCTCCTGAAACATCACCTTATTTTTGTATCTCTAATTGTCCTGGGTGCTCCCTATGCAAGCTAAATCCCAGTATTGTCCTTAGGCCTTTTGTGTCTCCAGCTTTTATTACAGTGAAGGCTTCCTGTGAACACTAGATCTACTGATTCCAGGAGAAAGTAAGCTCCTAAACTCAGGGACTCCTTTTCTTTTTTGTTCTCGTGTTTTGGGTGCCTAGTACAGTGCCTGGCACACAGTAGATGCTTATTCAGTGCTTGTTGAATTAAACTGATCCATAAAGTAATTTCAGCAAGAGTGAGAGAGACAGAAACAGAGACAGTCATAGAAAGGGGTAGAAACAGAGATACAAAAAAAGGAGACGGTAAAAAAAATAGAAACAGAGGAAGACAGAAACACAAAGAAAGAGATGGAGTGATAGGCAAGAGAGGAGAAAGAGAGATACAGAGAGACAAGAAGACAGAGAGGAGACTCAGAGAGACAAGAAAGGAGACACAGAGGGAGGAGACACAAAGAGATGAAGACAGAGAGGGGATATACAGAGAGATAGAGGCAGAGAGATAACAAAGAGACACAGAGACATACAGAGACACAAGAAAGAAGACAGAGAGGAGACCAGACAGAGAGAGGAGAGATAGAGAGATAAGAAGAGACAGAGAGATAGAAACAGAAAGATAAGAGGAGGCACAGAGACATACAGAGAGACAAAAAAGAAGATACAGAAGACAGAGATAGAAACAAAGAGATAAGAAAGAGACAGAGAGATACAGAGAGACAAGAAGACAGAGAGGAGAGACAGACAAGAAAGGAGACACAGAGGGAGGAGACACAGAGAGATAAAGACAGAGAGGGGAGATACAGAGAGATAGAGGCAGAGAGATAACAAAGAGACACAGAGACATACAGAGACACAAGAAAGAAGACAGAGAGGAGACCCAGACAGAGACAGAGAGAAGAGATAGAAACAGAAAGATAAGAAAGAGGAGGCACAGAGACATACAGAGAGACAAGAAAGACGACACAGAAGAAGACAGAGAGGAGACCCAGAAACACAGAGACAGAGAGATAAGAAAGAGGAGACACATAGAGACAGAGAGATTAGAAGGGGGGAGACAAAGAAAAGAGACAGACATTAAGACAGACAGAGAAGGAAGACAGAGAGGTAGAGAGAGATAAGAAAGAGGAGACACAGAGATAGAGACAAGAAAGAAGAGACAGAGAGGAAACCCACAGTGATAGAGATAGGGGAGATACAGAGAGATAAGAAAGAGGAAACAGGGGCAGCTAGGTGGCACAATGGATAGAGCAATGGCCCTGGATTCAGGAGGACCTGAGTTCAAATCCAGCCTCACACACATAACACTAGCTGTGTGACCCTGGGCAAGTCGCTTAACCCCACTGCCTAACCAAATATAAAAAAAAAACCAAGAAAGAGGAAACAGAGAGATCGAGAGACAAGAAAGAAGAGACAGACACAAAGACCCACAGAGGGATAGAGACAGAGAGGGGAGATACAGAGAGATAGAGACCGAGAGATAAGAATGAGGAGACTGAGAGACAGTCAGAGAGACAAGAAGGAAGAGACAGAGGTCAGAGACAGGGAGAGGAGCCCCAGAGGCACGTGGACACGCCGGGACCGGGAGCCGAGTCCGAGGGATTAGGAGGCAGACCCCCCCCCGCCCGGGGCCAGAGCGCCCCGGGGGACAATGGGGGATGGGGCTCGCTGCGGGCGCCTGGAGCTCTTTCCGGTTCTGGGGTAGGGTGGGAAAGGGAGGGGAACGGGGAGGGGGAGAGCCTGGTCGCGCCCCCGCCGCCCCCCCAGCCTCATGCGCCGCGGCGCCGGGGGAGGGAGTGACGGACAAACGGCCACGGCGGCGGCCGCGGCGGGGATGCCAGCCCGGCGCCCGGGGGCGGGGCCTGCGTCGGCGCGTCACGTGAGCGTGTTTTGGGCACGTGAGCGCGCGGAGGCCGCAGGCTCGCGCTCTCCCCCTCGCGCCGCCTCTGGCTGGCTCGAGGCTCGCAGGCTCGCGGGCGGGCGGGGAGCCGAGCGGGGCGGCCTCGCGCCGGAGCCGAGACACAGAGAAGGAGCGAAGGAGAGGACGAGCGAGCGAGCGAGCGCCGCCGCTGCTGCCGCGAGCCCGAGCCGGCCATGAGCCCCGGCCGCCGTCGCCGCCGCCGCCGCCCGAGCGCGGCGCCCCGGGGCCAGTGAGGGAGCCAGGGAGCCTCTAGCGCCGCCGCCGCCACCGCCGCGGGCCTGCCCCTCCCCGCCCGCCCGCCTCCCTTCTCCGCCCGCAGCCGCCGCCGCCGCCGCCGCCGCCGGGAGAACCCGAGGGAGGCCCAGGCCCCGCCGCCGCGGAGCCGCCATGTTGGGATCGGAGCCGCCGCGGAGCCGCCGCCGCCGCGGAGGAGGCCGGTGAGAGAGAGCCCGAGGCCGGCGCCGCCCGTGGCCAGCGGAGGAGCGAGGCCCGAAGAGAAGGAGGAGGCGGAGGAGGCCCGGCCCGGCCCCGCGCCGCCGCGGCCTGCCCGGCCCGGCCCCGCAGCCCCGCCCGGCCCTTCGCCCAGCGAGCGCCAGACCCGAGCCGGAGCCGGAGGACGAGGCCCGCAGCAGCGAGCGCCATGGCGGAGCAGACCTACTCGTGGTGAGGCGGCCCGGCCCGGCGGGGAGGGAGGGAAGGGGTCCGGCCGGGGCGCCCTTTCGCCGCCCCCTCGGTGATGCCCGGCCGCCCTCGGGGGCTCTCCCTCGGGCCCCGGCCGGAGCAGGCCTCTTGGGGGGGTCAGGCAGGAGCGGACAGGGCGAGGAGAGCCGCTCCCCCCGGGCTTGGGGGTCAGGGAGGACGGGCTCCTAGACTCGGTGGTTCCGGAGGACGGACAGCGGTGCTGGAATTGGGGAGAGCTCTGTTCGAGGAATAAGCTGTGGATCTTGGGTTCTGGGGAGAATTAGCGAGAGTGTTATTGAAGAGGAAGCCTGGGGAGGCTAATGGCCCTTGACCCTGGTGGATAAAGGAGGGGAGGACTGGACAGTGTTACCGAGGAGGAGGCTATGGGTCACTCGACTCATGTGGAACAAGTGCGAGGAAGAGTTATTGTTTGGTGGGGGGGTTGTCTCAGGGTAAATGAGCCCTGTGGGCTCATTTGTTAGGAAGTGGGAGGACAAGTACTGGACAGCATTCTTTCTATATGGGAGCGTCCATTGGGATGATCTTCCAATCTTGGGGTTTGGGAGTGTCCAAGACTAGAGTGTGTTATCGGGGAGTGTTGGGATGAATTCTCCCTTTGGATTTGGAGGAGTGTGTACTGGGAATGTGAAGAGGAAGAGGACAGTGGTAATGTTAGGGTGACTGTGTCCCCAGTATTCAATAGTTTTGGAGCAGGGAGGATAGGTGCGGGAGGGGGCAGACTGTTTCAGAATGCATCTCTCTCTCTCTCTCTCTCTCTCTCTCTCTCTCTCTCTCTCTCTCTCTCTCTCTCACACATCACACACACACACACACACACACACACACACACACACACCCTTTCTGAAATTAGAAGTGGGACAGCCACCAGAATTGTATAGTTGTATGTGTAGAGATGCTGGGGTTAAAATTGGGGGCATGTTGGAATGAATAGCCTTAGAATTCTATGGGGAGGAGAGGAACAGGGGCTAGGGAAACATTGTAGCATAGTTGGATTGTGTGCTACATGTATACACAAACTGGAGGTGAAAAAGCCATTTCGAACCAATGGTAAGGGGTAGAGGGACTGTGTGGTATGAATGACCTCGCACCTTCTCCCTACTTTGGAATAAAGGAAGAGAAGAATGGTCAGTGATCCCAGCTTCCCAAAAGAGTAAAGCAAATGAACTTTAGGGTAGGGCAGAAGAGAGGATGGAGAATGGGGGGCATATAATCTCCCAATAGGAATAGTAATCACTGGAGTTCATACTTGGATAGTACTTAAAAATAGTCCTGCTAGATGACTAGTCCAAGTATTATCCACAGCATTCTACAGTGACTGATTTGCTGGGGTCACACAGAGCTGGGGTGCCTTGGAGTGTGTTGACACTGTTATTGACCCACATAACCTTAGTGTGTGGCACTTAAGAGGTGGTGGTCAGGTTGGCTTGTGGCACAGGGAAGGGTGTTAGGCAAAAGGGATTTAGTTTCTCTAAGACAGAAGGATTGTGATAGGATGCAGGGGAAATAGAAGCCTAGGATGGGGAAGAGGTGGTGATAGTCAGAATTTAGAAGTCACGTTGGTCAATGCACAGATCTGTAGGGGACTGAGGGCAGAGTTGGCCAAGTAGGCAGGAGCCCAAGATTCAAGGAATAACCGTAGAAATGGGCCATATAAATCTTGGCAGTTATTAAGAAATAGAAGGAGTTGTAAGGGGAGCTGCACATGGCTGTGAGATCGTAGATTATGGGATCTTAGATTGAGAGGAAGCTGGAAGAGACCTTAGAAGGCAGCGAGTCCAGTGCCCTCATTTTAGAGGTGTGGAAACAGTCCTGGGAAGGTGGACAGGTTGTAAGCTCCTTGTGAGCAGGCAGTATATTTATCTCTAGGACCTAGCACAGTGCTTGGGAAATAAATGCTTGTTTGACTGGTTGGTCAGGTAAGTGACTTGCCCAGGCAGACAGGTACTAAGATCTTTTAAGGGATACGCTTCCCTCTTCCATGATCTCAGGGCTGCCCAGACTCTAACCTATCGGTGTGGCTGGGAGTGACAACCCTCAAGAGAAGTGGAGGGGGAGCATTGGATAGAGCAGTGGGCCCGGAGTCAGGAGGATCTGAGTTCAAATCCTGCCTCAGACATTTACTTAGCTGGGTGGCCCTGGGCAAGTCACTGCACTCTGCCTCAGTTTCCTCATCTGTAAAATGAGCTGGAGAAGGAAATGGCAAACCACTCCAGGATCTTTGCCAAGAAAACCCCATATGGGGTCACTGAATCAGACACAGCTGAACAAGGCCTTACCATCGGTCCTACCACTACACCCTGGTCGCTGCCATCTACCCGGCTAGTGTACACTTAGGACTCCTAGGCTTTGCCATCTACCACACCACAGCCCCCTAGAACTTCTGGGCTCTTTCTATGTGTTGTCTCCCCCAAATAGAGCATGGTCACCTTGAGAGCTGAGACTCTTTTTTTAATGTATTTGTATCTAAAGTGCTCAGCACAGTACTTGGCATGTGCATTTTTATTCATTCATTAATAGAAGATACAGGTGGGATTTGAACATATAGGTCCTTAGATTTCAGCACCTGGGGATCTTTCCACTGGATTATCTAGCAACTTTATCAGAAGAGAATTGTTTAGGAAACTTATGGAAGACAAGTTATTGGGAGGTTGTGGCCACACAACCCAGATTAATGCCCGAAGACCATGGATTTATAAAGTCATATTAACTGTTCTCTTAAAATGGGTCATCTGATTTGTGAAACTAGAAAGAAGTAAAACACCACATTTAGAATTTGTGGATCAACAGTTTACTGAGTCCTGAGTCCTCAGAACAGTATTTTTGGGAGTAACGATGAGAAGTCTTCTTTTAGGAGCGGAGCTGACTATTGGGATTTGAAAAACTATTACTGTCAAAATCAGGCTTTGGGGGAGAAAAGTACAAAAAATCCAGAGAAGGGATTGTGGTGAAAGTCTTGGAAGAGAGTCTGGAAAGAATATTGGGAAGGTGGTCATAAATCTTTTGAGGAAAATGTTATTTGGTAACAGCTATATTCTTTTTTTAATAGTATTTTTTCCCCAATTACATGTAAAGAAAGCTTCCAGCATTCAACTTTATTTATTTATTTATCTGTCTGTCTATCCATTTATTTATTTATTTTTAAGGAAAATTTTGAGTTCCAAATTTTTTCTCCCTCCTATCCCCCCTTCCCAAGATTTTGTTAGGCAATCTAATAGGTTATTCATGTGCAATCATGTAAACATATTTCCACATTAGTGTTGTTGTAACAACAATATTCTTAAGAAATTCTCAGGAAATGATAATAAGAGCTCATTTTTATAGCACTTTAAGGTTTTCAGGGTACTTTTCTAGTAACCCCGTGAGGTGGGTAGTGCCAGTATTATCCCCATTTAACAAAAGAGGAAATCTAAAGTCAAAGAAACAAAGTGACCCGCCCAGGATCACTCAGCAAGTTAATGAATGAATGCCAGAACCACAGACCTGGCTTTCTGATTCCCAGACCACAGAGCAATCTTGCCTGCTCCAAAGTGGGTGATAGGGTAATAGAGTGAAAAGAACAGGGCCCTAGAAAGCCTCGGTTCTGCTTGTAACTGCCACTTAGTCATGTGACTTCTGCCAAGTTATTTAGCCTCTGAGCCTTAGTTTTCCTCAATTGTCAAGTCGAGGTAATAGTATTTGCTCTACCTATTCGCACAGTTGTTGTAAGGATCAAATGAAATAATATCTAAAAGCTTTTGAATATTGCAAGGTAGTGTTACTAGAGCTAAATGAAAGGGTTTTGTTTTAGGTTTTAATGGTTTTAATGGTTTTTAGTTATTGTAAGGACTGAATATACCTCTCTTACTGGAAAGGGTCTAGGAATTGAAATCATTGATTCAAGGGGGAAGTCATGATGGGAGGGATGTTTGAAATAGAGAAGAGGATAATTTTGTGGGGTTGAGAGTGAATGTTTTTGTTTTGCCTGAAGGGGAAAATCTCATTTTTGGTGAACAGGGGTGGCTTTCGGGAAGATAAACATTTTGAATTGGTTTAAAGAAATTTGGTAATTTAGGAGTGACTTTGGCTTTATTGAGCTGTCCGTGAAGCCCAAGATGATGTGTGGGGTACAGGCAGAGGGGAAAAAAAGACTACAGTTTTCTGTATTGAGAAGGGGTAATAAAGAGTGATGTGATAAGCATTGTGATTGTTGGGAGACTCTAGCACAGAGAAGTATGATAGACCATTGTTTACAAACTGCTTGACCCAGCAGAAATTTCTAGATGGTCATTTATTGCCTTTTGGTTCTGCTGTACAGAGATTCTGGATCAATAATAAGACTGAGAAAAAAATTCAGAGAATGTCACTTGCAAGAAGTTGGGAAAATGACAATTTCAGTTTGGTAAATGATCTTAATCATAGATTTAGAACTGGAAGGACCTTAGAGAGGTGATCTGATCCAACCCCTTTGTTTCACAGATGAGGAAACTGAGGCCCAAAGGTTATGTGAGTTGTCCAAGTGATCTTATAGTTTCTTTGTAAATTAAGGCACCTTTCTGTTATTTGAGGGAGTGTCATACACATTAATGATTGTTTAAAATATGCCTTGAGGTTTGAGTACACCTGCTCCAGGACTTTGTTGACCTCTCGGGTTCTTCCCTTTGCTTTGCATTCAGGGAAGCCAGGTGAACCACCTTTCCTTGCTTTAGGGAGAGTTTGAGAAGGGGAAAGTAATTTTATTCTGGAAGAGAGTGGTCCATTTAGATATAGAGTAGATTGAAGGGGAAATAAGACAGCTTCTCCAATCAGATCTTGGTACTCTTGCTTTTGTTATTTTGTTTAGACTGAAGTAACTTAAGAAAAAACTTTCTAACAGTAGAGAACTATTCCAAATTGGAATGAGTTGCCTCTGGAGGCAACTGGGGGCTAGTATGGGGCCCGAACAAAAATCCTAATGGAGACACTTATTCTTTTTTAAATTAACA